GGGGGGGCGGGGGGGGGGTGAGAAAGTACGCAATTTAAAAGATCATTGCAATGTAGTGAGACGAGGTAGGGTATATTTTAATGATGTAGAGAAGTGAAATGTCACACACGCGCCCCACAGATTAATGTTCATTTTATTATCACGATTATTGCGCAGATACGCCTCAGGGCAATAAAACAGGCAGAGCATTCAGTAAAACCCAACCAAAAAATTCCAAAAAGTTGATATCTTTATTCAAATTTAATTCGCCCAATTGAATACTTTCTAACGCAAATTGGTCTGTAGAGAGCAAGATAGCAGAGGTATATTTTTTGAGCTGGATCAAATTAGATTTGAAAATCTCCTTACGAAATGAATGACTTCGCAAGGATGACCTGCATATTGGATAACTGAAATTGGATTAAAGAGAGGAGGAAGGATTATGGCGAGGAATTAGGAAATAAAAGATAACTGTGTCAATACTGAGAGAGTGGTATTCATGGAGGCGATAAAGAGGAAGGTAGTTGAGAGATCATCAATCGATAGAAATTAGTAAGGGATTTCTAAGAGTGATGAGTGAGTGTCGAGAAGCGTACTTAAACGACACGAACCAAGCAATCGGATGGACTACTGAATTTCCAGATTAACGCCTTCTACCATTACCAGGCGAATTAGAATTAGTGTGGAGTCTACATCTTTTCAGTATAGTGAAGTGTCTGAAGTGTGAAGTGGCCTATTAGCTTTAATTCAACCTTTAAAATATTTTAAATGAAACCTCCGATCCATTGGATAGACTTAAGAAGAAAATCTGTAAAAAATGCAAACGCAAATGCCATCAGATTATTTACTGCCACATGCGTTTAAAAGTGGATCATGATTAGTTGACCTCATAGTATATATATATGAAGTAACCTTCGATGTAAAATGTCGATAGGGTACAAATGAAAAGCCTAAATAAACACCCAGCGATGTGGAATCACCATTTTGAATAAAAATTTCAAAGTTTAAAATTGAAAATTCAGAGCAGATAAGATGGCACTTTGAAATCGAACTTAATTTGCATAAATAGTGAAAGAGCAAAATAAATGAGAAAATACTTATGATGCAATGAAAAACGTGTCAAATAAGTGTTGAGAATTCAAACTCAGACCTTAGAATGCACTCCAAGCCTCACAAATATAGGAGTTCTAAATGATCTGGAAGTTATCAATAATGACAATGCCAAAATAACCTTCGTTATATATTAGCTTTAAGTTATCCAAACACCAAATAATTAAGAGATATGCTTAAGGATACGAATAGAACTTAGTAATTACCATTCAACGCCTAGTAGTAGGGTTGATGAATAAGGACTGACTCAGTGGTGCTAGAACGCAGTAGGATCTGGATTTTAGATTAACCCGTATCGAACTGTGGAATATGAGTACTTCACATGAACTTTCATACCTACTTTCAACTATCTCAATCTGATCTGCTTTAGAGCCCAATGATAGTGATTGCTATACTATTCACCCAATCAGAAACAAGTAAAATTATCCAGACAATTATTTCAACTATAAATATTGCAACGCTCCTCCAAATAGCACATTTCATGCATTCTTCATAAGATTTGGATGCTTTCCAGCCAACAAATTGAAGGTAAATATAGGTAGGGTGTATTGGAGCATCAATATCGGGTCCTTGGGGTGTGTGATAGACTTACCTCCACGTGGTGCATCCTGGGCAACGTATTCTCATACGGCAAAAAAGTCTATTACCTGGCAGTTGACTTCTGACTTCAAACTACCATCACCCCACTGTATGTCATATTCTACCACTTTCACAATACTCACCTCACCTTCTTTCTCTGCCTCTGTGCCTGTCAGTCTCTCTTACATCTGTGAATCTCTCATCTGCTTCCCCTCTCGAATTTTTCTCACTTTGATGTTCCTCCCTACTATGAAGGCCGAAGTCAGCTAAAGGGCTGATGATAATTGTCAAAACGCCTGTCATTTGAAATAAATAAATATCTATAGGGTCCTATAACTTGTCGGGTTGAACATTCGGTAGGCAAAATAGTTATGATAGCTTTATACAGGATCAGACACCAAATTGGAGAATAAACACGCCCCCCCTCCCCCCTATAAATTTATCTACTCTACAGAAATCAATTTTTATATTAACTATCGAATCATTATCCTGCTGATTCTGCACTCTATTCTGATTATCAACTTAGACGAGTATGATAGTTGCCAAATTTGAAGGCTTAAATAACGGTAGAGACACTGTACTGCATTGTGCTTGCACGGATTCAGCCTGTAATAATCTCCCTTTGTTTAACCAGCAAAAAAAGCGCAATTGACATTGTATATCCCAATTTTCTAAACAAAAACATTAAGACACACCCCAAGCAACACCACCCGAAGATTTCTCCCCGAGTTCATTCTCTCGTAGTAAAAGGAAAAAAAGCCAAATCGAAATGAATAACAAACAAACAGACAGAATGCTAATTACGAGAAGACTTAAGATTACCATTATTCATCCAGATGATTCTTCTCTCAGCTTCCGTCATATTCTCCGATTTAGTTGCATAGGTAAGGGGAATGTTCCATACAGTTCTAAAACATAAAATTCGACGGTGGTCATTTACTACTAACGAATATGAGAGAGAGAGAGGAAAATGTTCGCAACTTGTTGAATTTGGGGACGGAGTCATTCCGACCAGAGCCGACAACGAATCTCTGCTGAGTGAGTTCAAATTGATTGCCACCGAGCCGTTTGACAGTAACAATTGGGTACCCGGCTTGTTTAATCCAATTATTCATGACGGCCTCCACATCTATGTAATTGTTTGACACCTTATTCGCCTAGAAAGATCAGACAATGTCTATCCATAATGAAAGGTGCAATGCAAGATTTACTACACTTCTCCTTTTGTGGCCTGTGTTGGTTCCAAAACATATTTTAAGTCTCTTCTTGCTTAGATCAATGTAGAAAAAAGACAATATTACAAAGTGGAATTTGTTTCCTACAAACCAGAGCGACAACTCTGCGCTTTACGACTTCAAATTGAGTCACTCAATATTCTAAATTCTTTTTCCAAATTTCTGCCTTGACACCTAAAACCCCTCCTTTTGTTTGGACTTGAAAAACTTTGCTATTTTTCATATTTCGACACCATTTACTGATTAAGGAGCATAAAATTGGAAAGGAAAGCATTTTACTCAAATGACTGTTTCAATTAATAGTTCGAGAGTATGTGGGAGTCGGTTGGTCTTAAAAATAGAAACACATTAAAATAGATATGAGGTTATTTAAATAAAATTTATTTGAAAGTCAAAAATTTGAAGCATCATTTAAGTGCTTTTACATTAGAAACCGCTATAAGTAATTTAAATAAACATCGGAAAAGTTTATTTTTATTTTATTTCCGTAAAAAACATGAAGCACCGGTTCTAGCTCTATTTTGTAAATAGATGGTACGAAAAGAACGAGTCCTCAAAGGATCCAAACAGGCTTATAAGATTTAAAGAATCTTATAATTATTTATTTAAATAAAAATTTTCCCAATAATAATTCACTAATAATTCCTAAAATACGCTCACACACATATTTCCCAAATTAAATATCATTGCCAACTTAAAACAATAAAATACTTCGACAAATCATGAACTCAAAATGCTAAAAATTCAAATATTGCGGTTGTTAGAGCTGCAAATTAAAACATTGTTGGTTGTCAATTCGAGTGTGGTTAAATTTTCCAATTAGGTAGGTAATATGCAAATTGGCATGTCCCCACTTACCTCTACTAAATGAGTAAGGGAATGTGGGAGAGGGGAGAGGGTATGTTGACAAATGGCAAACAAAAATTAAATCATAATCCCGAATACATAATTTCTAAAGCTAATTTGGTAACACTTTTACTAATAGAAAGGTGTTTCTCACGAACATAAGAAATCGTTTTTTAGAAAAAAAACAAAATATGTTTGAAATATCATTCGTGTGTTAGCACCGCTTATAGTACAACATTCATTTTTGACAGACAGGGATAAGCAGAACCCACAAAAAGTGAGGGAGAGACGGCAATTAGACTTCAAATAGCACTAGGGTCTTTGTAATCAACTTTGAGGAAAAGTGAAAAAGCCAATAAAGCACACATACCTCCTCAATAGAGCTCCAGAGATCTATGGGTTTGGTATTGCGGAATTTGTGTTTGCTCAGATAAATCTAGAAGTAAAAACTAAGGAATCAGGATCATGTGAATGCAGGCATGAGGATCTCAAAGGGTGACTTACTTTTAGACCCTGGCGGAATATTTCTGGAGTGATGAAGGCTTCCATCATTCGGAGAACTGCAGCCCCCTAAATAATAACGGCTGGAGTGTATGAATCTTCAAATGGGTGGAAACCATTGATTTTTATTGAAAAAAAACAATGAGTGACTATGCGTATAAAGATAATAGATGAGTGAGAAATTATGTCTCAGAGCAGGCAAGATAAGAGTAAAACGAAATTTAATTCTTCAATGAAACTGGCCAATAAGGTGCGCTGAAGCAAGATGTATGCTCAGTCGCAGACACGAAGTCAATTCTCATAAGGGATAGCCTATTATCGAGGTGAATACTATATTGTTAATCCGGGGTGTGTGATAGACTTACCTTCACGTGGTGCACCCTGGGCAACGTATACTCATACTGCAAAAAGTCAATAAACCGCCAGCTGACTTCTGGCTTCAATTACCATGATCTATTAACTGGCAGTTGACTTCTCTATGTCATATTCGGTCAATAAACCGCCAGCTGACTTCTGGCTTCAAACTACCACCACCCCACTGCATGCCATATTCGACCACTTTCACAGTACTCACCTTGCCTTTTTTCCGCCTTCAAGTCTGTCTGTCTCTTTTACATTTTTGAATCACTATTCTGTCCCTCATCTTGATTTTTTGTCACTTTGATGTTCCTCCTCCTTCTCTCTGTGAATCCCGAAGTCAACTAAAGGGTCATTTGAAATAAATAAATATGGCTAAGCCACTTGCGCTTCAAAGGTGATAACTCTGAATACTTAGATATTGAAGAGAGAGGGAAGACTTATTGAACCGAAGCTAACCGGTATATTATCCAAAAAGGCCCATTAAGATCTGGTGTAATGCGTCTTCCAACGCTCTCAACGAGAAACATATTTAGTTATAAAAAGTGTTTCTACCAAATATTCAACTTAATTAGCTAATTGACTCCTCTCTTGTTGTTGCCTTAATAGTAGAAGGTAGAAGTGAAAACGTCTCGAAAGGCATTTTCTCTATTTGGGGGTCAAAATCGCTTATAGGATGAAATTGGATTAATTGCATGCAGAAATGCATGGGTCATTTGTCCTTCAAACTAGAAAACGAGTTAATTGAATCAATCAGGTATATATATGGGGGGGGGGGTTGGGCTTAATGCACCAGAAGTTTAAAGTGAACGTGGAAATAAGGACAAACAATAGCGCTGATTTAGTAAAAAACATTTAGAAAGCCTGAAAGCTAAAGGACACCATATTGTTTAAAGTAAACACACTTAACTGACCATATTTTTGCTTAAGAAGATGATCGAAAATAAACAATGTCTATTCGATAACGGGAAAATAATAGTTTGTTATGTTAAAGTACTTTAAAGCTAGCAAAATAATTTGAATTCGTTTAAATAACATCCTTGATATATATATGATATGTGAGGGATGCTAATTTCTTTATGCCGACTCTTAAATTTCAACAGATAAATATTCAAGCAAAATGAAGCTAAGATTTAAGAAAAATAATTTTGAACTGATCCAAAATGCACCTGCAATTATGGCAATTTCGCGTGATGTGATAAATTAATAATATGTTGATAAGGAACGGTGAATGAGCTTGGCAAGCAATATTTCCACGACACCAATCAACTATATATTTTAATTTGAAATTATAAATTATATTTAACCAACCACTTGTAGAAACGGTGGTAATAAAAAATCTCGTTCGACCATTACAAAAGAACTATTTGTTTGCCATTTCATAAAAAATTTAAGGGCAAAAAAATACATTTTTTTTGCTTTTAATAGACTTTTCTCAATTTTGTAGTTTAAAAAAATTATTCAAAAAAATTTAATTAACTCTCTAATTATATGCCATGGCTGCTGTGCTGTAAGAACCATTAAAATTAATCTACCGATCAATATGGTTTGGGTATCGTTGATTGGATCCAAGCAGGAACGTGGAGAACTAAAACATAAAACGTGAGAAAATGGAGAAGAAACCCCCCCCCCCCCCACTCCATTCCCTCTACACCAATAGAAGACTGGTTTTGAAATTCTTCTGATACGAATATCGCCTCGCTATCAATAATTCCAACTCATCTTATCTGTCAGGATCAGTAACACTAATAATAGCATCAATTAGTATTTAGAAACACTCAGCACTCACTTTGCTGTATGAGATGGTATCAAAACTTTCGTTGATTTCATCTGGATGGGAGACAGGAAGGAAGACGGGACGCGTTGTAGACATCGAGTCGACATACAAGACCTTCTGCACGTGTTGTACAGCGAATGCCTCGTCCTGAAAAGCATGATAAATATATATATATATATATATATATATATATACGAAAAATGAAACTAATGACAGCTAGCCAAAATTCGCCAATGATGCATGTTTGCGACACTTTCCAAGGGCCCCGAAGACGCATCAAAGTCAACTGATGTAAGGTTCACTGGAGAGCTGCCATGTGGACATAGGCTTCACGGCTAATGCATTCAGCTCGCCTCGTCTTTCAAGAATATTCTGTCATTCACATAATATATGATAAACTGAGTTTATGCAGCTCTGAACTGCGGATCATAAGAGCAATAGTCTCGAAAAGCACGCCATTTGGTACATGGGAAATTCGTCATTGACAGGCCTTCGCATTACAAGGCTAGGCCTCTCAGATTAGAGCTCCAAAGTTGGCAGTCATATTCATTCTTAATCAACGTACTAACATTGCGATCGAGATGAAAGAATTTAACTACGGGGATGGAAACCACGTTTGGTTTTGGCTACATTCAGTTGTAAAATGTTATTGCCTTCTTTCCTAACTTCTCAGATGCCCTTCATTAAACCTATTCAGACTTGATAGAGGAGAAGATAGAGTGATATAGATAGACTTGCATCTCAAACGACCGTTTTCGGCATATTGCAACTACTTATAGGGGGGTGTGTGATAGATTTACTTCCACACAGTGCACCTTGGGCAACGTACACTCATACGGCAAAATAGTCTACTAACCGGCAGTTGACTTCTGACTTCAAGCTATCATGATATGACTGCATGTCATGTTCTACCACTTTCACAGTACTCATCTTACCTTTCCTCTACCTTTGTGTCTGTCTGTCTGTCTCTTTTACGTCTGTGAATCGCTCTTCTATTCCTCCCCCTCCCCCTCCCCCTCGAATTTTGTAACTTTGATGTTCCTCCTCCTCTCTGTGAAACTTGAAGTCAACTCAGGGGTCAATGGTAGCTTTCATAAAGCCTGCCATTTGATATAAATAGATATCTATAGAGCCATCACATAATTGATAAGTAGTTGGCTGCCACCTTAGACAAAAATTGTGGTGGCGGCTTCTTCCTAGGTGGTCGTGCATATCCATGTGTGTGTGTGTGTGTGTGTGTTTGTGGGGGCATCGATTTGGTCTTCAAACACTTTCTGATTCAGGTCATTCTACCACTGGATATCCACACAAAGCAGGGTGGTAAAATTGATTTTCTCTGTGTTCACAGAACATTTTCGTGTAAGCTGATGGGCACTACGTCACCGATTTATATTCTTAAAAATTTGAACAAATTTTTTTCGTAAAATAAATCTGCATGGGTTGATGCTAAGATTGTCCTCAGTAGATCAGAATATAACCTTTCGGTGGATGAATTCCCATTGCATATTCCTCCCCTCTCCCAACCCCACCCCACCCCCACCCCCACCCCCAACCCTCAATCGACACCTGGTTTCGGCAAAATAGGATATTACTTTCATTCCCCCATAAATCTTTACTCGAACTTCGATACATCAATCATAGCCAGTAGTCCACGCCAATGCATCGTGATTTAAAATCGCATTTATATCGTAATAAATAATTGGTGATAGTGTTTATCAAATCATCAAAACCTGAAATGCACATATAAATAAATAATTATTTGGTGACTTCTTGATCACGATCCAACTGTTATGGAGAGTTGCAAGCACCTAGTCATGAAGAATACAATACCTTCACAAATAACTGTTCAAAATAAACTCACAAGCACTTGAATGTCTGGACATTAATTTTGAGTAAAGAGGGAATTACGGCGGTCCGTTTACTCACAATTTATAGCTGTACTTACAGTTAACTATCATGCAAGATCACCCTATATTCCCAAATAACTGCAAGCAAAATTAGGGATTGAAGCCGAAGCTCCGTTTGATTGGAAAATAGGGGAAACAGTTATGGGCACTTTTGTTAATCGATTTCAATTGCTTCCAATGGTTGAAATTAAAAAATTGTTTTTTTTGTTTCATTAGTGTGAACAATACCACTGAGAGATTCATACTTCCCATAACTTTCGTCAATTCGCCAATATCAACATTGATTTGATGAGATTTAACTGCCCATTTGAAAAACATACCATATTCCAGGAAGGCTCAGCATGGGCGACGCCAATACATTCCACAAAAGTTGCGAAGCCTTCATTCAACCAAAGATCATCCCACCAGTCGAGGGTTACCAGGTTACCAAACCACTGAAATGGCGAAAAAGATTAATTTTAAAATACCCAGAATGGAAAATCCCATCCCAATGTAAAATGATAACGGGGGCACTGCTGAATACATATCTGCCAAATGTTTAGACTTTCCTAGAAAAAAAATTTATTTTTCCCATCAAATGACTACTTTCTTCATATTTGGCTTCAAGAAGACTATTAAAACACGTCAATTATGTCTGCTGAGAGCCATTTCAGTGCGACTGACTAAGTTCTTCTCGGGAACAAAAAATTGTAAATTAGAAAAAAGGGGCATGACTAGTCATTTGAGTAAATAACTTGGTAGGCGGGATTTAAAATCGGAGTCTCCAATGAACCAATGCGATGAAACAGGAATGTTCATGTTTTTGGAGTAATTAGAGCAAACAGTATATATATAGTGGGAGGGCAACTAAGTCATTGCCGTTTTCGTTGACAGATTCACTCTATACTTTCTTTTGTTTTGTTAACGTGGCCAGAGCATCTAACCTATATTTTTTTCTTACTGTATGGGCTTCTAGGTTAATTAGTAAAAAATTTTTTTGTTTAGTTCTTTAGTTTTGTTTTTATCCCAATTTAAAAATGAAAGAACAGGACGTGCACTTCCGACACATTTTATTGTATTACTTCCGAAAAGGCAAGAACGCATCGCAAGCACAAAAGAAGTTATGTGCCGTATATGGAGATGAAGCCTTAAAAGAAAGGCAGTGTCGAAATTGGTTTGAAAGATTTCGTTCCGGTGATTTTTCACTGAAAAGTTCGCAACGATCTGGCCGCCCAGTCGAAGTGGATGAAACCCATATCAAGGCCATTATCGATTCAAATCGTCACAGCACAACACGAGATGATATTGCAGAGAAGCTCAATGTGTCGCATACATGCATTGAAAAAAAATTAAAAACCCTTGGTTATGTCAAGAAACTTGATTTATGGATCCCTCACCAGTTAAAGGAAATTCATTTGACGCAACGGATTAGCATCTGTGATTCGCCGCTACTGAAACGCAATGAGAATGATCCATTTCTGAAGAACCTAGTTACTGGCGACGAAAAGTGGATAGTTTATAACAATGTTACTTGCAAGAGATCATGGATGAAGCAAGATCAACCAACCCAAACAGTATCAAAAGCAGAGATTCACCGAAAAAAGATTATGCTGTCAGTCTGGTGGGATCACAAAGGAATTTTGTATTTTGAACTCATGCCGCAGAACCAAACGATAAATTCACATGTGTATGTTGAACAACTCGAAAAACTGAAAGAAGGATGCAATTGAAGATAAGCGGCCGGCATTATCAAATCGGAAGGGTGTTGTTTACCATCATGATAACGCAAGGCCCCACACATCTTTGGTTACTCGGCAAAAATTATTGGAACTGGGTTGGGATGTTTTGTCACACCCACCATATAGCTCTGACCTTGCGCCTTCGGATTACCATTTGTTTCGTTCCATGCAAAACTCTTTAAATGGTAAAATTTGTAACAACGCGGATGATGTCGGATCACACCTAATTCAGTTTTTTAATAGCAAAGACCAGACATTTTACGAAGGGGGAATTTTTACTCTGCCAGAACGATGAAAAAAGGTGATCGACAAGAACGGCCAATATTTAATTGAATAAAGTTATATTTTTAAACAAAAATTCCGAATTTGCCTTCTTATTTGAAATCGGCAATGACTTAGTTGCCAACCTAATACATTAACAGGTTGTGAAAAAAAAATATTTTTTAAATTCTAGTTAACCTCTATTCCCCCCCCCCCTGTTCATTCCACTGCTAGATGATAGGAGAGAATGAAACTTTTTTTGCGTGTTGCATATTGATATCGGATAATCAGGATTTTTTCACAGGAGGTTCTGTTTTCATCTGGCCTTGAGTTTATTAAAAATATTAACCTCTTATCAGGTGACTTCTGGTGAACAGCTTTATTAACTGAAGGAAGAAATCCCATGAGATTTAGCATATATATATATATATTTTTTTTTAAATACTCCTTACATTGCCGGGTGTAAAAATATTGATAATTTTCCAAGAATAAGCCATTTACCATTTGCCCACATCTATTTCTTATTCGATAAAAAAAATGAAAAATCATGTTCACATATTTCATGAGTTGTTACACGACTGAAACCGTTTTCAATCTGCTAAACCATGTCTACATGCATACGTTGGCGCAACTACTAAATTCATGAAAAAACTTGAGCGAGCAATTTTATTGCCATTTGTCAACCCTTAAACTAGACCTATTCAAAGGTCTACGCCGCCTTCTTGCGCCATGCATCATAGTGTCATCTTATACTTGACCTGACTACGCGATCCGGGTTTCCACACATCTACGAGGGTTCCTTCATGCTAATTGATTTTTCTTACATCTAACCCCCCCCCCAGGCAGCTCATTTCTATTTGTGCCCAGAATCTCCTGTCTAAGGGATTTCAACTGCTTTCAGCCATTATACCCCCGACCCCTCCCCCCTCCTTACGCATCTGATGACTCGAGTACTTATCACGCGAAAGTGAGTAAGTAACTAGTAAAATCGAAATGCCGAATGAGCGATAATTCCGCACGATTGAAGGTGAAGTAGCCCTTATTTAGGCGTGAGTTTTTTGACCTTCAACACAATAATTGTATTAAAAAGGAATAGCAATAATGAATTTTAGCATAGTCAATTAAACAATACGCGAACCACCCAAATTAAACAGTATGGAAAGGAAGAAGAGATTCAGTCTAAACGAACGAACGCCTCGACGGGTGATCCTATATTCAACAATAATAGCTGCAAAGGTACAAGAGTGACTTTCATTTGATTGGCGATGACAACCCATTCCACCGTCCATTTGGGATGACGAATGTCAAGTTGTATTATAAAGTACTAATAATCTCCTGTTTAAGGAAGCATACAAAACAAACTTAAATTAGCAATAATTCCAACTTAATTGGCACCATACAACAGTAACCATCAGAGAACAAACAATTTCTATCAGCGACGGATGCACGAGAGTCAGTTGAAGTCGTTGGAGCTAACGTGCCTGTCTGCCAAGTCAGTTGACAAGGTGACGGCAGTCTTGACCATAGAGGCCTATCGCACTAATTACATCTGATTAATGAAGGGAGTGGTGATTTCCTGCTTTCACCACTCAAAATGAATCCAGGTATATATTTTTGCACGAAAAAGCTTGAACATTAATGAAACAGAGAGAAACAAACTGTGAAACATGTTAGTTAATAACCGATTAATGGTTGGATGTGATTGGATGGCTCAAGTGTCGCAAACAACCGGAAAAACCGTTTAAATGTGCATACGCACTGAGTTCTTTAAATTTAAACCAAGACAGGGCCTAGAACAAATAAACAGCAGGGAGGGTAGGGGTGGGGGGGGGGGACTAATTGGAAGAGCATACCTGATGGGCGATTTCGTGGGATATGACGCTAGCCACTTTCTGTTTGGCATTCTCAATGCCAGAAATAGGGTCCCAAATGAGAGTTGCCTCTCGAAATATCAGTAAGCCCCAGTTCTCCATTGCTCCTGCCGCGAAGTGTGGAACAGCCAACATATCTGAAAGGGAGGGGTGGGAGGGGAAAGAATTTGGAATTAAATGTATCGAATAAATTCGTGCATATATTGATTTCTATTTGCACACATTCAAATCTGATCGGTAGAAGGGGGAAAAGGTTTTTAAAGAGCAAGTTCAGACAGAAAGAACCTTTTCCAACGTCTACAACTTTTAGAGAAGATAAAGGTCGAGGTTGTGTAGGAGCGACTAGCAAATTATTGTTGATGAATAGGAAGTTCAAAGCATTCACTTAATCACTTAACGCCCAAATTAGTTTTTTTTTTGCAAAATGCACCCAACCACACTAACGAGTGTCTCACAACAGACTGATGTCGCTAACGGATGCATTTTGGTGGTGTATCAGGCGAAGGCGGCTATAGACACGTATTGATCATGTTGCAAACGGCACTAGTAGCGCCTTCTGTTACGAGTCTATTGTACCAATGGAGAATATTTTGAAGGAAGACTGAAGGACTTTTGAAGGGCTAAAAGTTTGATGGGCTTGTCGCACCTCAGGACCGCTACACTACTAAAGAAGCCTGAAGAATAAGGTGAAGAAATTGTGGAGAATTCTATTTGCGCATTCCTCCGACACCTCGGAACCCCTAGATGGTAGTATCTTATTCGATTGTGCATCCAAACTAACAGAAGATGCAAAATTCCCTTCAACTTTATGATTGTTAATTCGTTTCATATCCAGCGAATATCCCAATATACCACTTGACCTTTGGGCGACATTTAGGCTTTTGATTAGGGAACAACTGTTGACTCCTGTTAGCACTTAGAGAGGTCATTAGCTCTACAAATAGGGCATCAATAAGCGTCAAAATGCAGTGCCCAAACACCTCGCTCCCCCCCCCCCCCCCTCCAAGACCCCCACCCCTTACTTTAAATGCATTTGCTCATAAAACGGGTGAAATCTTGGAATTGATTTGGAATTCATCTACAATACGTTTATGTCCCAGGTAGATTAGGAGAAGCGATGATACAGACAATTCAAACGGGAATGACGTCGGTCAAAAGTAGTGGAAATTAACTAATAGGGAAAAAACTGGTTGTGTGGAACCACTCAAATCTCAACTGATTTCAGTCATTAGATAACTAACTAATTTATGGAAATAAATTTACGTAAAGCCACAGGCTCCTTTCTTAAGCAGAATGGATGCAAAATAAGCACTTCAGTTGGGCAGTTTTATTAAAGGAAATTGAAAATATTCGCCTGACAAGTGGAGGTTGAAACAAACAAAAAAATACATAAATCATCAGAACATCGTCTTATGAAAGAAATTTTTTGAATTTCTTGCAATAATTATTTATTCAGAAATTTTTTTACCTTGAAAGCCATTTCGATATGCATTTGGATAGAGCCCAAATTTTTAGCACGAAAATTGTGTGCATAGAACATTTGTAAAATTTTTTTGAGTGGTCAGTTCATGGGGAAAATTATAAATTTTTTTTGCAATGCAGTTTATAAATTAAAAAAAGATCACGTAAGTTGGGTTAACATTAATCACACAAATACGGACACAATCTTCAATTCTTGTCATTAAGTGGGAAAATTCCAATCGAGCCAACACACAGATTCATGACTCGAAGTGCAACTTCAACAAAAATAATTTTTTCGCCTGAAAATTTTTGGATATTATTTTTTTACAATCATTATCCAAAGATGGCATCTATTCATTGCGAAGCCTCATTTTAAATTGCATAAAGTAGGATATATTCGAACTGGTGATGGAGTGGCAAACGTCAATGCATACCGCAGTGAATGGAATAGGTAAGAAAGTGTGAATGACATAATTCATTTTACCGTCGTCATTTTATATATTACTTAAACAAAGAGGCTTGAATGGGCATTTATGGTTTTATACAATGCAGCACAAAAGACATATTTCCCCTTAAATAGTCAGGAAAGTATGAGAATGTGCGAAAGGACAGTTGTATAGAATTTTGACTGGATTAGCAGCAATAATAAATGTGATATGACAAGTTTTGGACAGGTTTGTTTTAAGCGATTGAAAGCAATTTACCGGTTTTTTCAAGAGGATAGTCGAGTTCAAAGTAGTCCTCGAAGAAGCTGATGATCTTTCTGCCCAACTCAAGAGCAAATTGGGCGGCGGAGATTAGATCAGGGCGAGCCCAAACAGTGAACTGATAACAAAGGAAAAATGTATAGTTGAAAAACTTCTTTTTACAGCGTAACATATTTTTAAGAAAGCATCTACTCAATTCCTTTGAAAGTCAAGTTTTGCCAAACTAAGCACTGCTTTCTCACCATTGACTCAACTGAAACGTACAGTGAATCGTGACCAAAGATAGCGCAACTTAGCATATTGTCTAAATTCCGATTTTCATAACAAATGGCTAATGCGGGATTAAATCCCCACGTTATGGCCAATAATTCATGATCTCTTTGGTGAAATAAAGTCGAGAGCAGAGATCAGATGATGATGATCTTTAATAATTACATTTATTACACGCTATTACATGCGCCCTAAAGACTAAAGGTTATTTTCATTTCAAATCATGTCTACTTGTAACCTTCAATCTATGGCTATAGATGCCCTTAGTAATCAGAGAAATTTGAGATATAATAACGAATTCGGACCGATAACAACATTTTATTGCCGTCAACGTGTTAGGCAATTATTCGAATTTACTTTTGAAAGCAACAATCAAAGGAAATTATCTTTTCCAACCATCCTATACCTTAGATGATAAAGTGGAGCTTGCCACTCGGAGGTAGACGTTTCCTCATAACTTGTTTTAATTTTCTTTAAGGTGACTTACATTTCTGCCCTTGGCATCGAGGCCAGATATACTGGTTACTTGGGAGACCACAAAGGCTAGGAGATAGGTGGATGTGTTCAGAGTGGGCTTGAAACTGTCCTCAACCCAGCCGTCACTGAGGTATTGCGAACGCACCAAGGGCATATTAGAGAGTGAATGAAAGTTCTCCTTACGAACCAACTTTATCTAGAACATAAAATTAAACAATAATGATCAACCAAATCACTTTGGGACATTGCAAAAAAAAGGTAGATACCTAGTATTTAAGAGCACATCATGTAACAGGGGAAAATAACCATTAACAATAAAAAATTGTAACTTTAGTGGAAATAGAAAATAATTTTAAAATCTATTAAGTTATGAATATTTGCATATAAAAAATATAGTACATCCATTATTAATTTTCGTCAATATTGTATGCATGCTTTACAGCTATAAATTCAGGTCAAAATTTTTTGTTTTGATTAGCTTTCTTTTTCTTCAATTGAACGTTATTCGATGATAAAATTCGTGGACCAATAGAAGTCGAGATGGGAAGTTCCATTAATTGGGAGTAATAGAAGTGGTTAGACCACTCACTTTCTGCCCCAAATGGAATGTTAGTTTTCTCTCCAGCACTCTCAATATGTCCCATTCACTTGCCTCGTAGCCCGATATTCTTAACTTCCACAAAAAGTGGTCCCTTTTTCGCCATATTCTCATTATTAGGGCATAATATACTCAAACTTTGGTCCTCTGACTTGAAATAGGTGTTCGTTTTGCGTCATGCTATGGGGACGTTCTTAGCAAGGGCTTTATTGTGCCCGTCAAAATATAAGTGAACAGGTGGCTTTCGCGTTGTCGCCTAATTGGTTGCAAGTATAAGCCAATACGGTAAATCTTTCATTGTTATACTTCCAGCAGATTAGTCTGATAAATTTAAAATGACTATGCTTGACTACCTTCAGAGTCTTACTTCTACACAGACCTCAGACATTGGTAGGATTCACCTCAATGGTGGTTGAATCGATCCTCATGTCACCTCTCCAAAAGAGGTAACGCAAAGCGTTGGAAGTTCATTAGCGATTCGGTGAATTTAGCTTCTAATTAAACATTTGATCATGCTCCAAATGGTTCATTCGTCTCTATTCCTCCTCCTCCTCCTCGCCCCCCCCCCCGAACACCATTTTATGTTAAGCATATTTCAACATAAATCTACAGCTAGCTAATGAGTCAAAATTTCACGCTGAAGATTTCGCGTTAGGGTCCAAACAACTGAAGTCGAATCAATGGCAATTACGATGATTTAAAGGCACTGAAAAGGTTTATTTTTGCATCCTCGGAAGAGCACAAATAAAACTTGAGTATATAACGACTGGAAGTCGTTTACGCGCGAAAAAAATTAATTTTCTTTTTTAACCTCCAGATCTAATTTCTCTCAAAGAAGATGAAGGCAAAATTTGTGAATAAAATGTCTGCGGACGTACTTCAAAGACTGATTTGAATGCCGGTTCATCCCAACAGGGAAATACTCTTCGAGCTTCAGTCGGTTGCAACTGACTTGTAGCCATGTATCTGCAACGAAAAGGAAGAAACAATTTTCTGAAGAATTTGGTGAAGTTAGCCAAGTTTATTGCATACAACTCAATGCCTTCGATAATAAAATAAATGGTTGAATGCGACGCTCCAATATATAGGCTATGGAGTAATGATTACTCTAACAGCCCCCTCTCGAATTTTTTTTCACTTTGGTGTTCCTCCTCCCTCTGTGAAGTCAGAAGTCAGCTAAATGGCTAATGATGACTATTCAAAACGCCTCCCATTTGAAATGCTCATAATTTTTAGCCACTTTTGCGTGCGAGTGCCTTTCGAGATTGAGGTTGTGGGATCGATTCTGATTCGAGTTGAGTTAATTCGATTTAGTTTGGTTTGCATAGAAGTTGCTCCAGCATAGACTCCTTCCACTCAAATTGGGAGTTGCGCTGGAGAGACATCACAAATTATACTGTTGAAATAGCACCCAAATAGATGAAATCAGAATAGACAAAGAGACAAAGAAAGCAAATAAATGGATTCGATGATCTTACTTTGTGACCTTGTTCTCCTCATACGTACTGAGGTACCAGCCCCGTAGACTTATGGTCAAAGGCGCACCAAACTCATCGAAGGAGAGGTAGTAGATTTTCGTGGGTTGCAGTCTCTCTGTGGTGGTTATTTTAAACCACTGCCTCGCCTTGTCGTATTCCTTTTGTTTTATTAAATCCTCCATACCATTCTCGCTAACCAGCTAAAATTTAAAGTTGTAAAGACTTTTAACTAACGCCTTCACCCTGGTTAGTATGAACAAAGAGCACAAATATTAGGACTGGTAGTGGAATCAACAAACGCGGAAATTTGAAAGTCTAGAAGATCGAAACAACAGCAATGAAATCCGAAAATTCGATGAAGCATGACCTACCAACCCTTCCATTGTCCACTATCCCACATTGAAGCAGTCCATTGGTCCATCCTTTAAGATAATTCTTACCCAAAATAATAGTTATTTTTGTTGCCTTTAGTGTAACAAATAAATGTGTCGGCAACTATGTGGAATAGACAATATAAATAACAGATCAGAATAGATATACCAATAAAATGTTAGTAAATTTTTTTATAACATAAAATTCAAGAAGCCGAGTTAAGAAGAAGGTGCATATTTGTTGGATCTCTAAAATGCGAAAGCATTAAAAAAAGTGTTTAGTATTATTACCAGTGACAAACCAATTTATGCTAACGTTTACTTTCTAGACTATTATATGTTTGACATTGGAAGTTTGTAAAAGTATAAAATTTACAAGATGGCAAACATTAGTGACAAAAATGACTAGGACTTCCGTATTCGAAGGTACGCAAATTTTGCTTAAAAGCCTCTTAAATTTCTTGGATAAGATCGCTCACACACAAGCTGTCCTTTTTGTACTCTCGAAGTCAGTTACCATTTGAAATTAATTCCCAATTTAAGTGTTAAAATACTGCGAAATAAATGAGTTCTAAGTTAAAAAAAACTCTTACGAGTAATATTGATGGCAAATATGGCAGTGGACAAATTCAAAGTTGCTTAATCTTCCCCCAATTCATTTGCCCTTCCCTTTAAATCTTCCAAGAAAATTTTACCATTTCTTGGTGTTCAGCTACCAGTTTAGAATTACAAATGCTTCAATGCTCTTATCAGTATAATGGTACAACGTTGTGGAGTGTATTTAAGCGCCTCAGTAGTACATATATATTTATAATGGTAGATTGATTTTTACGAATGAGTGTTATAGCAATCATAGCCTTCTATACAATAAATAATATATGATTTTCTAGCAGTCACCTAAGAATACAAAAACTCTATAACATCAAAGAAAGTAAATCTTTTAACGTGGTGGTTATCTAAATGAAATTAGTGCAAATAATATGGAATTTTCTTAAAAAGTCAAGACAGAATATTAAAAGTATATGACATGCCCAATGCATTCAACAAATTAGGACACACACCCTAATGAGACTTTGATTAACATTGAGATCGTTGTGAGCGTGGACAAAGAAGACGTCAGTGGCTTCGCGGCACAGCAGGCGCACTCGCACTGAACCAGTGAACTTGAAATTTTTCACGTCCACACCGTCAATAAAAGCTTGCAAACGCAAGTCATAGTGGAGTGGAATCACTGTATAAGGCAATCGAACATCCTTCACTCGTGTTACGAGAGCACCTTTAGTTCCTGTTGAATCCAAGGGATTGTCTTCGTGCCCTAGAGAACGAAGAGTTCATTGAGTTTAATTGGCAAAAATTATAGCCTACTTAATCGAATTACTGCTTAGGCAATCGATAGTTTCGGCAACATCAATAAGCAAATTTTACGATGAACAATCCCAATCGAGAGAATTTTTTTAGCTTTAATTATCTAAAGTTAACTGAGAGAGAGATAATGGATAAATCAATATTTAAGAAAATCAATAACCAAACAGTTATTGTCAGCTTTAGACTACCTTGCGAATTTGTATTAGCTCAAATATTCAATCAACTAATCAATAAAGAAGTGTTGATTAATTATGGTAGTGTCGTCCATATATCCAAGTTCTTTTGTTAGGTTTGGAAAACATTTAGACGAGAATCCATTTTTTTATTTAAACCGATTAAGGTCAGAAAATGATATGTTGACTGATAAATGCAAGTCAGAATAAAAATAAATAATCCGATTTCATTATTACGACTTGAAGATGCCAAAAACTGCGTAAAAATATGAAAGCGGTGATTTACAAGTCACCATATTTTTTGAACCCCGAGATGATAGAAGAAAAATAGTTGAGAAAAAAATAAGAGAGAAAAAGAAATCATTGCAAATTGTAGCATAGCAACTTAAATTAAGGCAAGTTATAAATGACACTTACTAGTCCCAGAGATGCCAGCTTTAGGGAAGTTATCTAGATGAAAAGTTTGAGAGATGATTTTATGCTCTTAATGGGATAGCGAATTCCCTCCGTAAAAGCGATTAGAATTTTAACGAAATAGAGACCCCTTAATGACAACGCTTTTTTTCTTAATTCAAATCAAGGGCACCGATATGGTACATAATATGAGGCGAATTAGGGACACTTGACATGCAATTTATAAGTATTTAATTGGATTAAATTAATATGAATGTCTTCCAATTAGTTCCAGGCATAGAGTTAAGGTGAAACAATGGCGTTACATTTTATCATGATTTACAGCAACCTCAAAGAAAATAATACGGAAACAGAGAAAGGGAAATCGAGTCAAATTCTAATTTGCTCCCGAAGTAAGATGAGACAAGAATCCGCAAGAGGGGAATCCAAAATGTCTGAGAGATAACTATGAAGTTCGTCAATAAGCAAAAGTACGAAGTTATCTATGTCAATAAAATTACAATTAAGGAATTCTTGATCTTCTCGCTTCAACTAGAATAATACGAAGAGAAGGTTCTTGTTTTAATTGCCATAAATGTGCAATGCACAACCTACCGTCAAGATTAGCGTCGGAGAGAGTTCGATACTTTAAAAGATAATAAAGAGTTGTTCCGAGGAAGACTAAGGCCAAAATGGAGACCACGCCGAGTAGAATGCCTAGAATAATAACCAGACTCCGTTTGGATTTGGTAGTTTCCACACCCGGCGTATATTTATTATCTCCCGACATTGTCTGAATTAGATTACATCCAAAAAATGTAGTCAGATAAGGCGAAATTTACAGAGAAGGGGAAGCCAGGTCTGTCTATTAAAAGTACAGAGAAGGGGAAATAGGTAGAAAGAGAGAGAGTGTGTGTGAGGACAATACCCTTGAGAAGTAGGTGAGATCGGGAGTCAAGAGGATGAGAGGGTAGTCCAAAAGCGCGATCAAGCTCTCGAACACATGCGTTTTTATAGCTCCACTAGCCCACATTGGCCTAGAAATGCTCTCATTGGTTACCCACTAACCAATTAAGAATGACCAAATAAATCTAAGTGCGCGCGTATATCGGTGCAACTATGACAGCTCTCTTCCCGCTCCACTGTTCCAACACTTAACCCACTCTATTGAGCCCTCTTTAACAAAAAAATACAAAAAGATAAATATTTTAGATAAATAAGGATTTTATATCTAATCAAACGACATTTACAAGAAAAATTGAATTCAAATTTTCGTTAATTTTTTTCCACTTGAGTTACATCATCTCGAAGCATTTCTTCCCGAAAGTTGGCTTCTGAAATAAAGAAAAAATATTTTTATTGTAGAAATTATATTAAGTCGTTACCGTAAATTTGATATAGTCATGTCTGAAAACAATTATCTCCCTTTTATCAATCACAAAGGAATTGAAATATCATATAACATTGAGGTGGTAATTTAATATTTGAATGAAAACATTTTCGTTATCTCAGTTCCATTTTTTCAAGATAAATTTGGACTGAAAATTGTGGACAATAATTAATTTCAGTAATCCAGGCAAAATTGACCCGATTCTAAATAGGCGCTCTGGATAATTCTCTGGATGATTTCAAAAATTAGAAGAAATATTTCAGGGTAAGCAAAGTTTTCCAAGCAATTGGATTCGAACAGGAAGTTCTTAAATATGCACACAAGATACGGAATGAATTCATTTGATAATAAATCCAATTTTCATAGACGAGAGAAATTAAAGGAGAGATAAGTTTAAGTGACGATTCACATAATCTCCAGAAGACGAAAAGGACCGTGGTCACTCCAATATCACGCACAATGTTGCCATTGGAAGATTATCTGAGAAAAAAACAGGTACAAATAATTGTTTAAATTCGTCATCTCAAGCGGTTTTTTTTCAAAAACAAAATGGGAGAACTTCGGTTATATTAAAAGAAAAGACCCAAGCCTAGGAGGTATCTCCTGATGGATGAAATAACTTAGAAATGGAAAAAAACTGAAAGTGGACACAGCAGCGCAGTTCAGCTTTCACCTTCCTAAATAGGCTTCCGGATCACATATAGACACTGGTTGAGAAGTGTCAGCCAAACGGCATGGATTAAAAAACTGAAACTTATAGAAGAGTTGCGTATTGAGTTGGCCCAACCAATGACTTGTTTATATAGGCATTTACAATGACCGAATGGTTATGCGGACAAGTATCAAGGACAGAAAGTGGTGAGAAACGGGTCCTGCTGGGGCACAGATAAACGATTGACACGTGAGACACTAGACCTAAGTGGGGGGAGGGGAGGGGGTAACTCGTGTAGTAGAAGAATGGGAGTTGTAATTCGTATGAAGTGGAGAACAAAATCGAGCCAACTCCCTCCACTTAGCGCACAGAGCCCACACTGGTGCACATGCCCGAAATTGGAGATATTAAACAGTATCAGACAGGGGGGGGAAGGGGAGAAGGAAGGAGATATGGACAGTATGGGGGAGTGAGGCAGGGAATCTGAGGGCAGTAGCACGGGAACACGTGGGTGTGGTCAATTTAATTGCCACTACCGCCATCGTTGTTGTCGCTGTTGTCGTCATCGTGTCATTAAACTTCAAGCGGGCATACAAACAAAAATTAAAATAAAACACAGCGAGATGAACACACCCTTGCAGTCGATTATGAAATGGAAAAAACAGTAGATCTGGCGTATCTCAGTAGCCATTTAATGCAATTTAAACAAATCGCACAAACACTCCCTTGAGAGGCGAAAAATGCAGAATGCACAATTGGGCTTCCACTTATTAACACCAAATTTTACTTTCAAGCAAAGGGAAACCCCACTTTAAAATTCTAACATGTGAGAATAAGGCGAAATGCCACTAAAAGTTTACCCCTGTTTCGAAGAAAAACCAATAACAGTTTGTGCTCTAAAACGCAAATGCAGAAGGTTATGACTACCCAGAAATCTGGTCACACATGGTGCCAGAATTAAAAGATGCTATTTCAAAAATGGTCTATATGCAACAAATACAAGAAGAAACTTATGGATATGAAGTTTTGGAACATGGAGAAAAGAAACACTAATGACAGTTTAAGCAATCAACGAATGAAACATCTCGGAATAAAAAAGCGCCAAGATCAGGGCGGAAAGAAGGTGGAAGGAGAGGTGGAAAGATTATCTAAGAACTGGATGGTTGGTTAAATCGCCAAAAAAAATCGGAACAATCATCATCTTAACAGTGGGGGGGGGGGGACAATTTGCTTACATCAAATAAATGACGGTCTGCAATGACAATTGTCAATTAACTAACAAAAAAGAAAGAAAGCCTTACATTTACTATACACAAATCTTGAAGACAAACAATTTACAATTGAACAAAAGTCGCTTTGACTGAATTCGTTTAAGGCTGACGACAAACAAGGCTCAAAAGAGACTGACACCGCAGCAGTGGAGACAGTGTTTTGTTGTATTTATTTTTTTGGAAACTTACAAAAATTTCCCAATGTCTAGGAAGTAAACATTTAAGCTTCCACAATCCCTCACCCCAGTCCATTCCACACAAAGTTGTCTAAGTATTTGATCTTTTTGGCAAAAGGCATTTCGACACAAAAGTAAAAAAACAGCCATTAAGCAATGTCTACTTGAGCAGACACAAATTGTGGAAACCAGCTGGCAATCTTTTAGGAAACCCCATCCCAGTCGAATATTATGTAACATCAATTTGTCATTTCAATTATCTCGGAGGGAATTAAAGCGAAAAATCGTTCCACTATCGATAAATAATAATTAATAAAAATAGTAATGGAGATAATCCAAAGGAAGATTCATGAAAGTTAATTTTGAAAGGACAGTCGGTGAATGTAGTAAATAACTGTGCAATCATAAACATGAATACTATAACAAAGTAGGAATTTACGGTGGTCTGATATGGCTTTAAACACATCTCGATTAATTTTTTTAATTCCCTACACTCTCTACCAGTTTAATGAACTTTATGTTAAACTATTTTAGATGCTCCCATCAACTAGCTTCTATCAGCTTACAGATCTACTGAAATGAAGATGAGAGTGATGCAGCCATCAATCAGTCAAATCTGTGCTGAAGGTGGAGAGTGGAATCGCAATTCTGCGTTACAGAAAGATTAAACTAAACTAAACTTGAAAAGTTCAAACATTTTTTCCCAAAAATAACGCAGTTTCTTCAGCCAATACATGTGCCTTAATTAGAAAATCAACCAAAAGGAAATTATGCACTAGGTAGGTGTAATTTCTTCCTAAAATACAGTGCTTAGATGGTAAAAATGCTTATTAAGACACAATTTTCCTCATTCTCATTAAAATGCCTTCATTTCAATTTGTTACGAAATACTTTCATAGTAATGATTAAATCTGAGGATTAAAATAGATTGATTTTCAATTACTCTTTCAGGAGGGAGAAAAAAACAAGACTGAATCTACCAACAGAAAAACTTATATTTTGTTTAAATTATAAAGCAGAAGGTAGAAACCAAAGCTGTTTATATGAGTAACGTTTTAATGCAACTTATTTTAGATTATGATTTCTAAAACCCAATTTAAAAACTAGTTTCTCTGCTATTTCAGTTGGCTATATATATATGTAAATTTAGTTGGCAGATAAGCGTAATTAAACAAACAAGTGAAACGAAAGAAGAGAGAGAGAAATAAATGAATATTGCTAAAATAAAAAGTTCTGTGTAGAATTTTTCAAAAAATCAATACATTGCAGACATTACATTCTTCCCGCTGCTAAATCAACAACTTCTAATATTTATTTATTTATTTATATCAAATGGCAGGCGTTGTGAAAGTTATCATTAGCCCTTTAGTTGACTTCAGGTTTCACAGAGGAGGAGGAACATCAAAGTGAAACAAGTCGAGAGGGAGAGGGGGAACAGAAGAGAGTTTCAAAGATGTAAAAGAAACAGAACAAAAGGTTGAAAAAATGTGAGGTGAGTACTGTGGAAGTAGTCGAATATGACATACAATGGGGTGGTGTTAGTTTGAAGTCAGAAGTCAACTGCCAATTAATAGATTTTTTTGCCGTATGAGTATACGTTGCCCAGGATGCACCACGTGGAGGCAAGTCTATCACACACCCCACTTCAAATATTAATGAGCCCTAAACATTTCGGATATAAACTCACCCAACCACTCAAGTTTCAAATCTCGAAGATGTTTAAAGACCATATTTAACAATAAGCACTT